AATGACATGAGACAAAGTATATGTGAACTGCTGTATGAAAAGTGAATTTACTCTGTAAATCTTCACCCAAATCCTAAAAAAAAAAAAAAAGTATGGTGAAAGGATACAACCTTGACACACTCCCTTCTTGATTTTAAACCACGCAATGTCCCCTTGTTCTGTTCGAATGACAGCCTCTTGGCCTATGTACAGGTTCCTCATGAGTACAATTAAGTGTTCTGGAATTCCCATTCTTCTCACTGCTATCCACAATTTGTTATGATCCACACAGTCAAATGTTTTTGCATAGTCAATAAAACACAAGTAAACATCTTTTTGGTAGTCTTTGCTTTGAGCCAAGATACATCTGACATCAGCAACAGTATCCCTTGTTCAATATCACCTTCTGAATCCAGCCTGCACCTCTGGGAGTTCTCCATCAATATACTGCTACAACTGGTTTTGAATTAGCTTCAGTAAGATTTTACTTGTGTGTGATAATGCTATTGTGTGATAATTTCCACATTCTGTGGGATCACCTCTCTTTGGAATGGGCACAAATACGGATCTCTTCCAGTCAGTTGGCCAGGTAGCTGTCTTCCAAATCTCTTAGCATAACTGAGTGCCTCCAGTAGGGCACCAGTTTGCCGAAACATCTCAATGGGTGTTCTGTCAATTCCTGAAGTCTTGTTCTTCACCACCTCCTTCAATGCAGCTTCAACTTCTTCCTTCAATACCATTGGTTCTTGATCATATGCCACCTCCTGAAATGGATGAATGTTGACCAGTTCTTTTTGGTACAGTGACTCTGTGTATTCCTTCCATCTTCTTTTGATGCTTCTTGCATCATTCAATATTTTGCCCATAGAATCTTTTAATATTGTAACTTGAGGCCTAATTTTTTTCCTCAGTTCTTTCAGCTTGAGAAATGCTGAGCATGTTCTTCCCTTTTGGTTTTCTAACTCCAGGTCTTTGCACATTTCATTATAGTAATTGGCTCTGTCTGCTCGAGCTTCTCTTTGAAATCTTCTATTCAGCTCTTTTATCTTGTCATTTCTTTCATTTGGTTTAGCTACTCTCCATTCAAGGGCAAGTTTCAGAGTCTCTTCTGACATCCATTTTGGTCTTTTCTTCTTCCCTGGTCTATTTTAATGACCTCTTGCTTTCTTCATGGATGATGTTCTTGATGTCATCCCACAATACTTCTGGTTTTCAGTCAATGGTGTTCAATGCATCAAATCTATTCTTTGGATGGTCTCTAAATTCAGCAGGAAAATATTCCAGGTCCTATTTTGGTTCTTGTGGACTTGTTTTAATTGTCTTCAACTTTAAGTTGAACTTGCATATGAGCAACTGATGGTCTGTTCCACAGTCAGCTCCTTGCCTTGTTTTGGCTGAAGATATTGAGCTTTTCCATCGCCTCTTACCACAGATGTAGTCAATCTGATTCTTGTGTACTCCATCTAGCGAAGTTCACATGGATAGCCGCCATTTGTATTGTTAAAAAACGGTATTTGCTATGAATAACTTGTTGATCTTACAAAATTTTATCATGCAATCACCAGCATTATTTCTGTCACCAAGGTCAAAGTTTCCAACTACCAGTGATTCTTCTTTATTTCCAACTTTTGCATTCCAGTCACCAGTCATAATTAACAAATCTTGATTAACACATCTTGACTGGCCCCTCCCCTTACCTGATCCCTGGCTGCTGCTCTGCTCTGTCGTGCCCTCTGGCTTCTCTTTTCCCTGCTTTCTTGGCTGTTGGGGGCAGGGCCTGGGTCACTCCCCTTACCTGGCTCACTCCCCTTACCTGGATCACTCCCCTTACCTGGATCATCGGCTGCCGCTCTGCTCTGTCATTCATGGAGCAGCAAGTGGGTTCAAATTCCTGCTCTTTTGCTTAGCAGCTGAATTGGAACTGTACCTCTAGAGCTCCACACACCTATAAAAATGGCTAAAATTCACAGGACTGACTGTACCATGTGTTGCCAAGTATATGGAGGAAGGATTCTCCAACACTACTGGTGGAAATATAAAATAGTATAATAACTTTAGAAAACAGTGAGAAGTTAAAAATTTAATCCTGCATCTACCATTTGATCTAGCCATTCTACTTAAGGTACACAAAGAAAAGGAAATATTTATGCATGTAAATATTTGTATGTGAATATTCATAATAGCTTTATTTATAAAAATCAAAAACTAAAATCTAACACAAATTACCATCACCAGGTGAATGAATAAACTAACTGTGGTATACACGTACAACAGACTACTACTCAGGAATAAGAAAGAATGAATTAATGATACATAAAGCAATATGGATAACTCTTTAAATAATTATGCTGAGTGAAAGAAGTCAACGTAAAGAAAGTTCACAAGGTATGATTCCATCTACATAAAACTCTGTTGTTGTTGTTGTTGTTATGTGCTGTCAAGTTGGACTCGACTGATAGCAACCTCTCCTTGGGTTTCCGAGGTGGTATCACTACGGAAGTGGATTGCCCAACCTTCCTTCTGAGGAGTGGCTGCTAGGTTTGAACTGCCAGGCTTCTGGTTAGCAGTCAAGTGCCTCAGGCACTACACTACCATGCAAACTAATCTCTAGTCATAGAAAGCAAATCAGTAGTTGACTACAGAGGGCAAAACAAAAGGGGTGACAGAGGGGTTTACAGACAGGCACAAGGGAACTTCTGAGGATAATGGCTAGGCTATGTTGACTATCTTGACCATGGTGATGGTTTCACAAGTGTATACATTTGTCAAATCTTATCTAACCTTAATACTTTAAATACCCGTAACTGAATTTATGTCAATTATAGCTAAATAAAGCTGTTAAACATATACACACACATCTCCAGATCCCGTCCCCTACTTGACCACAGCTACCCTCCATCACTGCAAGAGAAGGCTGCTAGTATATTCTCTGGAGGGGATGAAATAAAGTCTCTGGACTTGGGGAACAACTTGCATAACTGATAATGGGGCTACTGGAGTTCTGAAAACAAGGGTTTTAAGTAAATATTCATTTACTAAGTCATATTAGCCAAACTGTAAATCAAGGGTAAAGGCAGTAAAAAAGTATTTTCAGACATGGAGTCTCAAAAAATTTACTTTGGTTTCCCTTCCTGGAGGAAGTGTGGTATCAAAACAAAGGAGCAAACCAAGAGAGTAGACACCATGGGAATCAAGAAGAATGGGATTCAATCCAAGAAATACATGAAAGGAATCCTCAGGATGATGATTATGAAAGAGATCACCATAGAAATCTGTGTATCAGGCATAGAGAGAGTCAGGAATTTCAAACAACAAATTTAAGACAACAGAATACATTAAATATTTATGTTACACTACACATTTTATTTATTACTTTACTATGTACTTCCTTGCCACCTCAACCTAGAATAACAACTGCATGAGGGTGGTTTTTATTCCCTTTTTATCCACGGTTCTATCTCAAATATGTGTAAAACAAAACAAAAGAAACCAAACTCACTGCCATCAAATCACATCTGACTCACAGCAAGCCCTCCTTGGGTTTCCGAGGCAGTATCACTACAGAAGTAGACTGCCCCATTTTCCTTCCGATGCCCCATCTTCCTTCCAACAAATATGTGTAAGCCTACCTGCTACTTATCTGGCACTTAAAAAAATTTTCTTGATAAATAAAAATGCTAAATTTTGGCCTATGAATCACTATATATCTATATCTATATATAGTAGTAATTACATTATATCTCAGAATGACCACTTAAATCGAAACAAAACAAAAAAACAACCAAACTCACTGCTGTCCAGTCCATTCTGACTCACAGAGAACCCTCCTTGGGTTTCTGAAGCAGTATCTCTATAGAAATAAGACTGTCCGGTATTCCTTCTGAGGAGTGGCTGGTGGGTTTGAATCACCACCCTTCTGGTTAGCAGTCAAAGGAGATTTTAATTTTATATCGATCTACAGACTTTTATGGGCTGTGACCAGTAGAAATAATTTTATTGTTACAAAACAGTCTAAATTCTATTAATTTTATCTAGTTCCCAAATATGATGGGAGAAAACTTGAGAATAATCAGTTGATTCCTTTTTCATAAAAATTCCCAACATAGCTCATATAGATAAACTCTGACAAAATCAACTTTCAGTGGAAACAGACAAAAATGGATAAAGACTTTATTTTATTTCACATTTAATATTTTATCACCTGATGCTCCACCTCCTGAAGTAAGGATTCCAACAGTTCTGTTTCTTGTGTTAGGGATGTCTTCTGGCCTGTTTAGAAATATCAAAACACCAACACACAGGCTCATTACTGGTTTAAGAATGATACTAACTTTCATTGAATATATTCAATAACAAGGAATCCATTTCAAGGAAACAAAAGTTTTTAATTTTTAAAAAAATTACCTTCCCTGAAGATTCTCGTAGAGTTTAGTAGAATGAATAAAATACTGTAGTTGCTTTGAAAACACAACTTCAGAACCAACTCTAACTACAGTTTTAGACAAAATTCAAGTTTAGTATATCAAATTCATCTAAGAAATGTACAATAACAATATACTTTTGAGCAAAATATTTACTTTTATAGATCTTCATATTATTTTTGGAAGAAACAATAATGTTAATTTCACTGCAATCAATATATTCGGAAACAATTCCTCCCTAAAACTTAACTGTGACTTAAAAAAGAATGCATTAAGGGGCCAAAAGTTTATGTTGAATGTCAGAAGAGATACATCCTTTGACTAGAGAATGACCTGTATAAACAATGCCCACAGAAGTATAAGAGACTCAAAAAACTAGGCAAACAGGGATTAAGGAATTCCTATTATAAAAAAGAAGAAAAAATATGGCTTTACACATTTAGAAAAAAATTATGCATATTTACCAAATCACACTATTATTTGCAGGGAGGGAAGGGGGCACATCCCACAATCTGAAGAGCTAGACCACCATCTGTCTATCAGTTGGCAATACTGTGGCGACTTACATGTTGCTATAATGCTAGAAGCTATGCAGCCATTCCACCAGTATTTCAAATACCAGCAGGGTTATCAATGGTAGACAGATTTCAGCAGTGCTTCCAAACTAACACAGACAAGAACAAAGGCTTTGTGATCTACATCTAAAAATTAGCCAATGACAACCCTATGGATCACAACAGAATACTGCCCAACATGCTCCAAGGCAATGAGCCCCTTAGATTGAAAAGCACTCAAAATGGACAGTGACCACAACAATGGACTGGAGCGTATCAGCGATCATGAAGATGGCACAGGACAGCAACGTTTCATTCTGTTATACACGAGGTCATCATAAGTCAAGGCCAACTCTAAACAAAAACAGCTAGAAACATACACCATGAGGTGAGCAAAGGTTTCACTGGTTTGTAGTAGTCGAATTTTACATAGAAGGACATCTAATACATAGAATTTTTATTTTCAACACCAAAAACAGAACCTCGTGAGTACTATAAATAACACATGGCAAAATAAATTATCATGTGCAATCTAGTATTATCAATCCCATCCCAAAGTCTTAGAGATAAGACATCAGCCCATGGCACAACACTCCTGCACATGGATTGATTTAAAAATCAGTGGTAGAAATTGTAGTATGTATAAAAGTCTAAAATTCTTCATAATACTAAGTGAGATTATAATAAGACAAGATTCCTGTTTATTACAAAAAGCTATCTAGGAATCACAAATTACAGTAATTTCTCCTAACAGAAAATAATGTGAAAAGCACAAAAGGAGGGATATTTAAGTTACTGGAAAGGGAAATTGCTTCTTTCTGTGAGTGATATATTTAGTAAAATGAAGAGATCAATATTGTTCTCTTATTTGATTTTTGGTTGATCAAATTAAATATAAAGACATAAATGAAACAATGAAGCTAATTCACCCAAGAAAAGCAAGGCTACACACAACTGTGTGTTTGGAAACTATTTAAGACCACACTGACAAGAGAAAAAGTCCTGAATTTAAAAAATTATAGTACACATCAATATTCAAATACTCTATACAGCATAAATAAACTTAAGGGACTCTCAAACAGCATCTAAAATACTAAAAAAATAAGATCTATATGTATGGTTAACTATAACTAAGGTGCTAAGAACAATTATGATTTTCATTTAGATAAAATCATATACTTGGCAATGCCTGGCATATTCAATGCCAATGTTTTCTCTTCTCATTGCTCCACTGTGCAAATGAGCTGTGCTGTTCAATCAACTAAAAGAATGATTTTCAAGACTATTTGCTGCTGGATGTCTGGGAAAAAAAAATTAAAATTCATATAGTACTGTAATTATAACATAAAAATGATTTGTAAAATGATATGCAAATATCCAAGCTCAGAAATATATGCATCTTACCAAAGAAGTTAAATATAAATTGATAAAATAGTATTTTGGTTACCTCAAGCAGACACACGCCCTGGAGAGAACAATCATGGGAGAAGGAAGGGCTGCTTATGCACAGGGAGACAGCTCAGGGTGCAGAAGAGTATGAAGGGATGGACACTGGGAGGAGGTAACTATGGGGAGGAAGTGGGAGGGGAGCTGCTGCATTGTAAATTTTGGTCAATGACATGAGACAAAGTATATGTGAACTGCTGTATGAAAAGTGAATTTACTCTGTAAATCTTCACCCAAATCCTAATTAAAAAAAAAAAAAAAAATAGTATTTTGGATGGCACAAGGTATGGCTAAAACTTTGGAGAATTAAGACATCAAATAAAAAATTATGTGTTCATACTTTATTAAAGTGTATCTATTTCATGCTGGACTATAATAAGAGTTGTAAAGTTCGTTCAAGTCAACAAAACACTGGATAAACTAAGACTGGTTAAACTCAAATGATCACACACATACAAAAAAATATCCTCCCAATACACTTAGCATTGGTCAGGTCTTCACATAAACTCTATGCTCAATTTTAAGTGCCCCAATCAAAGAAGAATGAGGAATCTTTGAAGAAGCAAAAACATAAGCAATAAATACTATTAAAGATTAAAAATGACAACTACTAGAAACCAAAGAACTAAGACCCCAAGACCTTACATCACTAACAAGAAGTGGGGAGGGGGCAATTATGCACAATTATCAGTTGTTCATCTTCAATGAAGATGAAATGAAAAAAAAAGAGGGGGGACAGCAGTAGAAATTTTTAATTTTGAATCGAAAAAAATGCTACCTAATAATGAGGACCACTGGCCATTAACATTGCTTATCCAAACAGCTATGAAATCTTTTGTTACCAATCATTTTAAGTACAAGTTAGACTCTGGTCCAGTATAACAAAATGCAGTTGATTAAATCTCAAGATTCCTTCTCAGTCTTTAACAACTCACCAATATTCACTTGTCAAAGACTGAAACTACAAGGCAGGTCAAAGCCCCATGTACCTCAAGCAGCAGAAAACACACTCACCCATCAGTGTTATAAGTTTGTTCTTCAGCTGCGTGTCTAACCGTGCAATCATCATCTCAAATGCATTCCTAATTTCCCGAACACGTTCATCTTTCGCATATCTTACAGCCTCTACATTTCTTTCCTAGAAAATAAACAGGCAAAAAGAATTTTAATTTAAAAAACAGAAGCAAAGAGACATTAATGCAATCACTGTAATCATCCTTAAATTCAGCTGACCCAATTTCCTCTTTAAAATACTGTTGATAAATCGTAAGCAATCCGTTGCTTTAAAAAATTCAAAGCATTAAACTGAACCAGGGGAAAAGAGTCTTAAAATCAACAATTAGAATATAGTAATAAAGAATATAATGTTTTAACATTTAACCAAAAAGGTCTATGATTACAAAATACTGGTTTAGGTCATACATTCACAAGACATACTCAAACTGAAAAAGCATATCAAAGGAAGTTCACATCCTCAAAAACCTTGAGTAAGTGAAATTAAAAAATAAAAACAGTACCGACTCTAGTTTAATAAAGTTTTCCTTTTTTGTTTCTTTTCAACACTAAATACAGGAGGAAATAATTAAGTTTTAACAAGTCTGTTACATAATTTTTCATTGCAATGCTATAGGAAATAAAAAAGAAGTTTTCCTATAGTTACTATTATAACATAAATAAAACCAGTGAGATGCTCAACCCCAGAAAATAACCCCTTATGGGTTAACAAAAGATGATGTTGCCAAAAGAAAACAACAGGAAAAACAAGTTGTTAAATGAAGACCAAGTAGAAGCTTTCCAACTTGCAAATGGTTTATATTCTTAAATGATTTCATAGGTCACATACATGGCAATCAAAAACACTACTTTCTGTATAAACAGTGTAATAAATAATGATTTGGAACTTAATTCCTGAAAGGATGAAATGAAGATGATATCCTGTCCTTAAGTTTGCAGTGGTCTATAATAACAGTGATTCTGGTAACAGGAAAGATTGTGCTTCCAAAGTATACTTTTATTTGTTTAAAGCTTATCATACTTTCCCATAGAAATAGTAGTATAAATGACAGCTTCCTAATCAATTCGCCAAAGCTCACCCTATGTATCTGAAAAGTACTGTTAAGAATGACTCTTTCAACTCCGTACAGAAATGAATTTTAAGTTCCAATTCAGGACACTGGAAATAGTTCATTCCTTGGCAACAGAAATTCTCCCAAGAATGGGAAAGCCAAAGAATAAATTACTTAAGGACAGTGTAAAACTCAATATTCATTCAATTTAGGCATCAATTTTTTACTTTGTAAGAAACAGATTTCTCTTAGCTCACTAACAGATTCTCTAATTCTAACAAAAGGCTCCAACTGCTTCTCTAAAGTCCAGGGCTTTGGGTGAATTACTCAACTAATTTGAAGTTAGTAAGAGACTGACTACAGATGCATCCTATCAAATTTTCAACTCTCAAAAATCTTGATTTAAACATCTGATTGATTTATATTATAGAATATAGAGCATATTATTATGTAATACAGGATATAAAAGGGATGACCTTTTAGGAGCAGTCTTACCACTTCTTGAACTAAACTGATCAGTTCCATGAGACGCCGACGAAGTTTGGCTACCTCTTCGTTCACTTTAGTCACATGCTGCTCATAAATTTCTGCCAAAGGTTTAAAGGTATGTCCACCATGCTATTTAAATGAATGACAATAACTTTAGGACATTTTCACATACCTCACCTACATTTATATTCCATATGTAGCACTCAATGGACACGAATAAATTGCTAAATATTTTTAAATAAGTTTTACCTTTTGGGCTGCCATAATTTTACTGAAAGGTCCAGAACTCATTTAAAATCACTTGACTCATGTAGGAACTCCTTCAACATTTCAGTAAAACAGTTTTAACAAAACATTAAAACCTATCCATAAATCTTCATTCATTACAACAAACTAGAATCCTTGACCATGACCCAAGCCACCTCCCACTACCTCATCTACTACTGATCTCATTCATACCCAACACCAGCCTTCCTGCATGTTCTTAAACTTCTTCCCACTAGGCCTTTGAAAAAGTTGTTCCCTCATTCAAAAATGATTCATCTCCATCTTCCCTCCTCTCAATCTCCACCTCTTAAACTCTTCTGCATCCTTTGGAGGTTATGTCAAGCTTAGAGAGTCAGGTCCCATAGTCATTCACTCTCAGCACATCAACAATTAAATACAGAATCAGTACGTCTTACCATTACTACAGACTATAAGCATATAATTTGATTAAGGAGAAAATCACTGATGACTGGATCCCCAGTCTCCAGCACAGCTGAATGCAGTCACTCATTGCAAGATACTTGAGGAAAAGACCCACAGTTCATAATTGGCAAAAACAATGAACTCCACTTCTCAGGCCACAAATTAGAGATAGAAGGGCCATAAAAATTAGCCTCACAAATCTAGTGTTCACAAAAAAAAATTTAGAGCTATCAATCTAAAAACAGTTTTCTATTTAGCATTGGAGTTATTAATTCTCTTGATTGGTATACAGAACTATTAATTATCTATTTTAAGAGACTTCTTGTAATAGATATGATATTACTGGAATTATCCTGTTCACTCAAAGTATCTTGTCATGTTCTCTAAGAGACTACTGAAGAAAGTTGATTTTTGTGTGTCCATGTTAAGTGGACAAGAATGGAAAAGAATGGATTCATTGCCTCTTTCAAAGTCTGTCTACGGGAATTTAACTTTTTCTACTCAGCACATTAGTATTTAAATTCAAACAGAACGTTCTCTTAATTGACTTATAAAACTTAGCCACAGGTCCCCAAAGAATGATCAATTCTCAGGGCTAACAGACAATCTAGAAGCCTGTCCCCACAATTCTACCACTATGGCTTACGTTCTCATCAAGAGTCTAATAATCTATTCTGCTTATTCTCAAACCTATTTGTACAAATTATAAAAAAACAATGTAAGTAAAATAAAAAACTACCTCTTAGGCAAACTAACTTGGATGCCTTAGAATTCATAAAGGTAGGATGCTTTAATTTGGGGGAGGGGACTGTCAGATTAGAATAGGAAAAAAGCTAAATGATGGAAAAACCAGTTGAGCTTATAAGAGCCAGATAAGTTGTTTAATAAGTGTCTAAGTTCTTACTCCATTTTTAAGAAGCCAAAATTGAAGCTCCTAGCAAGTATATCAAATCAACTAATCCTTACTCAAAGAGGTGATCCTACAACAAAGAATGTGCAAATGAATACATTTTAAACGTTTTAGGTTAAAATTAAAATATTTATATAAGGGGTGAACATCTTACATCAATCCCCACCAAAAGAGGTTCTTCTGGACTAATAGGTGTGATACTTTTAACAAAGCATACATTGACAGTAAAACAAATTATTCTGTTTTATGCCTACATCAAGAAAAATTTAATACTGAGACCACCTTTAAACCGTAAACCAAAAATATGCCCTCAAATCTTCTTAAAACCAAACAATAGTTTGGCTTAACTAGTAAAGAATGTTTGCATTGAGCACTGTGCTCCTTTAAAAACTGTTTACAGATCAAACTGACAACAGCAACTCAAAAGATGAGATGCAAAGCTTAAGGGGCAGTGACTTTATGTAAATAAGGAAGGAACAATTTAGAAAAAAAAGCAGGTTTAGAATTGTTGCACAACCTATGTTGTATAATCAATGTCACTGAATTGTACATACAGAAATTGCTTAATTGGTATATGTTGCTTTGTGTATTCCCAACAACAAAAAAAGTAAAACAAAATTTTAGGGGGAAAAAAAGTCAGTGCTTTCTAATCACTAACTAAAAATAATACGCTGAATTTGTTCTGCTCACCATTCCTCCCCAAAGTGCACACTGATGGCAGATACACTTCTTACAAGTCCAGCAAAACACACTAAGTTTCTCATGGTGGTTTTCACATCTGTATATTATGGAAAGAAGAAAAACAGTTATACATTAAATTAAATTAATTAAAAATTAGAACATAATTCCTAAGTTTGAGCAAAGAAGTCAGGCAATTTTAAACAATTACATCATAGAAGACGATCTGGTGGCTCAGAAGGTTGGTAGTTCAGATACACTAACTGCTCCGCAGAATAAAGATGATGGGGCAATTTACTTCAATAAAGATTTACCAACTTGGTAACCCAATGAGGGCCACTATGAGTCAGAATTCACTCAATTCTCAGGAAGCATATAACTGTAAAATATACTCAATGGATTCTGTGACTTAAGATAAAGAATTAACATGCAGACAAATTTTCTGTAAAGTATTATGTCCATTAACACTTTAGGAGCTCTGGTAGTGTAGTGCCTAAGACACTTAACTGCAAACCAGAAGGCAGGCGGTTCAAACCCACCAGCCACTCCTCGGAAGGAAGGTTGGGCAATCTACTTCCATGGTGATACTGCCTTGGTAACCCAAGGAGGGGTCGCTGTGAGTGAGGTCTGACTTGATGGCACATAACAACAACAACAACAACAACATAACACTTTACAGTCAGTCTTGTGCAAAATGCAGACCAGTTTCTAAACAAAGTACAAATACAGCCTCATTGGTACAAAATAACAACCACAGCATCACTACAGATAATAAATTTTATCCTACCACTGTATTTTAAGGAGCTCTGGTAGCACAGTGCCTAAGTCGCTTGAATGCTAACCAGAAGGCTGGCAGTTCAAACCCACCAGTCACTCCTCAGAAGGAAGGATGGGCAATCTACTTCCGTAGTGATACTGCCTTGGCAACCCAGGGAGGGGTCGCTATGAATTGGGGCTGACTCGATGGCATATAACAACAACAACAACATTTTGGGCAAATGTTTATCAGATTATGAGTCTATACCTACTTGTGCATGTTGTATGCATATATACTTCTACATGTGACTAATACTAGCAATAATCAAGTTAGATGTGATTAATAATATAATGTAGTATCAGATCTTCATGGAAAAAGAGTAATTTCTAAATTTTTCCCTTGCTTGTAAAGCAGAAACAGGTGTATTTTTTAAAAATTATTTCAGGAGGAGACTTCTGTTAAGATGGTGGAATACGCAGAAAAGCTACATAGACCCTCTTCAACAAAGAAAAGAGAAACCAAGTGATACAGATACAGAAGATAATCCTGGAACCCTGAGCTTTGAAAAGAAGGATACAGAAGTAGATGAAACACCGAAGAGTAGAAGAACATGAATGAAAACAGTCAATAAAGAGACAAACTCAGCTGCAGACTCTCAGCTATCCTGATGGAACGGACAGCCTGAATATTTCCAAGTGGTGCTAGCACTTGAAAAAATTGGCCCTGCTTGCCATGGGCTACACGGACAAGTGCACTGGTGGCTGATGACTAAAAAGGGAAACAGCAGAGAAGGAGACAAACGAAGCTGTGGACTTTCAGCTGTCTGGAGGGCACAGCCATGTTGAATGTTTACAAGCAGCAGCCATTTTAGATATTTAAAGTGACAGCATTCTCATTCAGATTCCAAAGACCTAAGAATAGGTTCCATTTGCTAAGGACAGCACAGACATATAGAAGGCTGGTGACTGGAAAAGAGACAGATGGTGAGTGCATAAATGCTGCCAACTAGAGCAGAGGAGCACAGTACCCTGCTTACTCAGGTAACATCCAAAGTAAACTAAAATCTTGGGAAAATTACTCTAACATACAATTACCAATTAAATATAAACACAAAAATGTCACAATGTCTTAGAGACAAGAAACCATCACAGTCCACACAAAAAAGCAAGATAAAGCAGTAGAAACAAGGGACCAGGATACAGACCCAGAAAATATCCCCGAGGAAGCAGCAGCACTGGAACTCCCTGACAAGGAATTCAAAAGTATAATATTTACGTACCATCAACGCACTGAGAGACAGATCAGGGAAAACACTGACAAACTCAGGAAAACACAGAGAAAACCCTAGAACAATTTGGGTAGGCAATACAAGAACAAAATGGCAAAATAAATAAAAAATTAGAAATGATACAAAATCTACAGATAGAAATCCAGAATATTAATGCTAAATTTTCAGAAATAGGTAACACATTGAATGGCCAAAGGAACAGAACTAAATCAATATTAGACAGAATTAGTGAGATTGAAGACAAATACCTCAATATTTCTTTGGAAAGGAAGCAATCAGAAAAAAGATCAAAACTCAATGAAGACAGCCTAAGGTTCATGTGGGATACCATCAAAAGGAATAACTTACGTGTCATCGAATTCCAGAACAGGAAGATAAAAAACCACAAAGAAAATTGTCTAAGATTTTTGGAAGAGAATTTTCCTGATATGATGAAAGACAAGAATATGTCCATTCAAGAAGTACAACGAGAAGATGGTGGAATACGCAGAAAGACTCCACAGATCATCTTCAACAAAGAAAAGGGGAATAAATTAACACAGATACAGAAGATAATCCTGGACCCCTTAGCCCTGAAGGGAAGGACATAGAAGTGGACTAAACTCCAACTAGCAGAAGAATTTGCATGAAAACAGTTTCATGAAAAGGACACATATGGAGCTGTGGTCTGGCACCAATCCTGATGGCACAGATAGCTTGGATATTGCCGAGTGGTGGTAGGATCTAAGAATTAACCTAAATATCAGCCCTGCTAGCCAGGAATTGCACAGAGGACTGCTCTGGCAGCTAGGGAATATAAGGGGAAGCAGCAAAGAGGAAGGCAGGCTGAGCTGTGGATTTTTGCCTATCCTGAGGGTGCATTAATGTTGAATGTTTACAAGTGGTTTGATAACTGTAGATATTTAAAGTGACAGCGTTCTCCCAGATTCCAGAGACTTAAGAATAGGCTCCACTTGCTGGGAATCTAAAGGATATTCTGGATGAATGGAAAGGTGCAAGATTCCCCTTGTTACTCTTATACCCCACACCCTCTTGTAGAATGGAGATGCAGCCATTCCTCACTCCCACCAACCTTCTGTGCCAGTAGGAATTGCATCCCAATCTGAGTTCTCGGACGGAGCCTGGGTGCCCTGCCTTGCCCCCATTTTTTCTTTTTTCTGTTTTCTAGTTTGTTTTTTTTATGTTTTAAAACTACTATCATTATTACTACTTTTGTTCTTTTTACTATTATTCTTTATTCTTCTCCTCCCAGGTTCTAGTCCTCAGCTTTTTTTCTTTTTCCTGTTCTTGGTTCCAAATTATTTTTCTTTCTCATGGTTAACCCTGTTCCTTGTTTTTTGTTTTGCATTTTTTCCCATTTTATTCTTCATTAGTCTCTCTATCTTTTTTGTCTCATTGCCCTCTCTCCAGATATCATTTTTTTTTTCCCATTCTTCTTTTTTTGGTTTTGTTTCTGTGTAATTACACAGTGTATTTTTTGCCCATTTACTTTTACTTTTTTGATGGTTATTCAACTGTTATTTTTGTCTAACTGAATGGAGGACTGCAAAAGTTCCCATATGACACAACTATACCCACACCTCCTGCAGCTTCACTTACTGAGTGAGACCCACCACTTCCTTTTCCACCAATGGTCCAACGATAAATAACCACCAAGAAGAGCCTGATTCACCCTTGGCTGCTCTTCCAAACAGTTAACAGAGACCTAAATACAACACCACCACGATGTCTTGGAGACAAGAGACCATTCACAGTCCACACAAAGAAGCAAGATAAAATGGTAGAAACAAGGGAGCAGGATACAGACCCAGAACACATCCCTGTGGAAGAAGCAGCATTAGAACTCTCTGATAGGGAATTCTAAAGAATTATATTTAGGTATCTTCAAAGGACTGAGAGACAGACAAAGAAAAACACAGACAAAACCCTACAAGAATCTGGGAAGAAAATACAAGAACAAAATGGCAAAGTAAATGAAAAATTAGAAATGATTCTAATCTACAGATAGAAATCCAGAAGATTAATACTAAATTGTCAGAAACAGATAACAAATTGAAAGGGCAATGGAGTAGAACTGATGCAACGGAAGACAGAATTAAGGAGACTGACGACAAATACCTGAATTTATCTTTGGAAAGGGATCAATCAGATAAAAAATCAAAACAAAATAAAGAAAGCCTAAGGTGCATGTGGGATACCATCAAAAGGAATAACCTATGTGTCACTGGAATTCCAGAACAGGAAGAGATTAATAAAACCACTGAGAAAATTGTGGAAGATTTGTTAGAGGAGAACTTCCCTGATATGATGAAAGATGAGAATATATCCATTCAAGAACTCCAATGAACCCCAAAAAGGAGAGACTACAGAAGAAAATGACCAAGATATATCATCATCAAACTCATCAAAACCAAAGACAAAGAAAGAATCCTGAAAGCTGTACAGGAAAAACAAAAAGTTACTTACAAAAGACAACCAGTAATAAGATCTGATTTCTCAGCAGAAACCATGCAAGCGACAAGGCACTAGGATGGTATATATACAACCTTGTAAAAGAAAAATTTCCAACCAAGAATGATATACCCAGCAAAATGGTCCCTCAAATAGGATGGTGAAATTAGGACATTTCCAGATAAGCGGAATCTAAGGGAATTTGTTAAAACCACATCAACCTTACAAAAGATACTAAATGGAGTTCTTTGAACAGAGAACCAAAAATAGCAAACCACCACCAAACATTAATACACAAGATAACATAACCCAGAAACCACATATCCAAAATAAAATAAGCTTACAAGATTGTAAACAGTGAACCAGAGACATCAATTGGCAAGTGAGGACCACTACAAACCAAAAAGAGGGGAAACACTGTGTAGTTACAGAAATTCTAACTGGTGAAGTCAAGAGAGTTGCAAGACAGACTGTTCTAAACTAGAGAACAAATTTATGAAATCACAGGGTAACCTCAAAGAAAAATGATAAACCTACACACCACAAAAATGAAGCCAAGCACAAATATTCAGCAAATACTAAAACAACAGCAACAAAGGAAATA